TAAGTTATTTGTAACAATAGTTGATTGATTATAATAGTCATAAAAGTAATACATTGTACTTGTAAGTTAATTACAATACTTTTAGTAAGATAATATATGACTGTATATATTAATATTGTTAACAATCACCTCTGTTAGGCTTATAATATAATTTAGTTTTATTTTAAAACTATATATTGAAGTGATTACATAATTGAGTACTGAAGATTGAGAGCATATAATGACACACTTGCTCTCATCACTCCTTTCCCTCCTACCTCCACCATCTCCCTAATCCTCTTCCCCCAACACTATGTTGTTACTCTTGTTCTCTCTAGCCCAGTCCTCTGCCTACAAGTGTCCTACCAGCAGGCACTCTGCCTGCTTCAACATAGGCAATAAACATTACTGTACTTGTCTCTCCAATCTGCCACTACAATGCCTGTACTGAGCCTCAGATCCTGTAATGATACTACTGAGCTGACTACACTGTCCTTCATTGTAAAGTGTAAGTAGCCAGTCCACTTCATAATAACTCACACAATGGTTGCTCATCCCTCTCCTCCCAACTTTTTGTCTCCCTTCCACCCCTCCTACTCCTTGCTCTGCTACTTGTGTTGCCTCTCCTTCATTGTCCTCCTTTGTTTACACTTGCCTTCCTTTTTGTATTTGTATTCATACATCTGTATTGTTGACCAATACTGAACAACTTCTTCAATGTTTCCATACATTTGTGTACTTCCTGCTCTGTAGTACAAGCAACAGTCAACAAGCACATGCTTGCAACAATACTAACATACAACCATTCCTATAGTATGACCCTCTCTTCAACACTGTATGTGCTCCCCTTCCCTACCCATTCCATGCTTAACATTACTCTCTACAGGTCTATCCTATGTGTATTTACATTCCCTAGTACAGTAGACAACACCATATCAAACAGAAGTAGTAGACTACTACTTACCCCTCTTAAGCTGAGTCTGTCTATACATTCTACTTCACCTTCTCTGTTTGAGCCAGTATGTTTCAGAGATACACCTTTACAATCCACAAAAATGATTCAGTTCACTACTCCTCCAATTGTATGTCAGTCAGAATATAATCATATGTGTACTAATACAGCTTTATCTACAGCCTGAATCAACTCATTCAATGCTCCAGATCTCAACCTGTATACACTACTCACACTTGCTACACACTATTGTAGTATGTCCACCTTTTATCTCCTATTGTCACTTGCTAACTACTTTAAACCTGTCTAACAGGTGCAGCCTCAACCTCTACAACCTACTCAACCTTATCCTACACACACACACAATTTGACTCACAGGTCCTGAGTGACAACCAAACATGGTGACAAAGACTACATTAAACAGCCTAAGGATGTGATCATCCTTTTCTAACACAAATTCTACTCACAAAAGAACAAGGCAGAGGCTACTACTAGTGTAGGGGTTAGAACTGTAGAAATAATGTATTATTTATTATTTTGTATTAAATAATTAAATATAATTATATTTTATTAATTATTTGATAAAAAATTGTATCTGAAGCAAAAGGAAGCAATTCAAACACTTGTAATAACTTATAAGCATTATAAGCAGATATTATACTTTCTCAAATAAATAAGTATGTCTTAGTCTTGTAATCTTAGAAAGTGTTATAATCACTTTTATAACTTGACAATTTATAAAATTATAATAGAAATTGCCAAGTTTTAAAAGTATTCTTACTTACTTATCTAACATTGTACTGTTATTACTTAACCCCCTAGGAAGATTATAAGTAATTGGACAAATTTTATAAAATATAAAAAATATACAAGATTACAAGCAAGTATAATACTTAAGACTTTTTTGTAATGTCTGGTTACTATACAGTATATGGTCTTGTATGAGACAAGGCAGTCTTACTATGTTAGTCTACTTGAATTATTTTTCATTATTGTCTACTTTTAGACTTTCCTATCCTACTAGTAAGAGCAACTAATGTTGTGCCAAAGGACAACAAATATAACAGTTTTTAGTAGTATGTTTGTATTATACTAGCTTGGTCACTTGCAGACTACAAGAGTGTTAGTATGAAACAACTACAATTTATTACAAAGGAAATGAGATACATTCTGGATGCTTTCTTATATAAATTCAAGGTTGACCTTGGATGTCTCTCAACTCAAGCATTTCTCATCTCTGGTCTACAGAGCTACTCCTCTATATTTATTATACTATGTCATCTCACAGACTCTTTCATTCTTTTACATTTAAAGTACCAGAATCATATGTAAAGAAGCCTACCAGGGCTGCATTCATTGAACAAATTGTATGCCAAGATGTAGCAAAAGCTGGAGGGGTAGACTCTCATAGTGCTCACTATACAATTTTGTGAGTACTTTTAAGCAACATTTTATTGTTAGATAGATGAGTACTAAAACAAGTTACTATAAAGCTCTACTGAACATGAGACATTAGACAGAGACAAACAAAACCATGTCACAGTTGAATATAAGTAACAAGATGGAAGCCACATTACTACCCATCATGTTGTAATCCTGAAGGAATAATTCTGTAGGCAGGATTGGTTTTAGAGAGTTGTTACTCAAATGCTCTCCTAGTACCATACTTTATTTCCTTTACCTATATGCTATACCCTGTACATTGTAGCCTACTAAGACAGAATATACTTCCCCTGAAACATAACCCTTCTTTACCTTTTGCTTCAGCATAATTATTTGTGGATGACCAAAGGTAATACATGCAACAATTAGGAAGATAAGTAGGAAAGGGCAATATTATTAATTGATAACTACACTACAAAATGCTTGTGTTCCAGTGTTCAACTATTGTCCTAACCACTCAAGCAGCTTTGCTTTGAACCCTGCCCACTCTTGCTCTGCTTTCTTCTGTACTCTATGTGTACAATTGTTCATAACCTCTGCTAGAGTAGTACAGGTACTGTCTTAGGAGGCATTCATTGATTGTGTTGATGATGATAAATTCTGTTACAGTGTCACTTACAATGTTCTTTCTGAGGACTCAGGTTCCTGCAAAACTGATGTGTCTTTTGAGAATAGTGTTGGTGAATATTGAGAGGAAGAGGGTTTTGGATTCTCAGAAATTGTTCTTTCAGTTTTCTTGTATAAGGATGTAGTGGTTGCTTCTGATCACATGTCAGAACTGGCAAGGAATTGACAAGTGTTACAAGTTTCTTCTGCCTCTGTTACTAGCACATTTGGTTTAAAAGATGTTGAAACTCCACCTGCTCTACTAGTTGAACCCTCTGTATTTTCTACTAGTGTTGTGTCAATGTCTGAGACTACTGTAGTGTCCTTGACAGATTCTAGATTTGTACTTGCTTCCCAGTCTAAGATGACTTGCTAACTATCATACTCTACCAAGCTGTAGTCAGGTTCACTATTGTCCTTCAAGCACAACCTTGTACTAACAAGTGCATCTTGCATCAAGTTTGTCACAAGACAAACTGTCTCTACCTGCTGCCTCTGTCTTTCTGTTAGTTCCTCCAGATTATCCACAACCTTCCTAC